TAAAGGGAGCGAGTGATAATTTAGAAGAATATTTGCTTACTTATTTGCCAAGTGAAATTTGAGAAAAAATAATTTATTAAGAAAAACAATAATGTCTTTTTTTTTTCACGTTTCCGCTGGTTGATAATCATTCCATTTTTTTCTTATTTTTTCCATCTCGATCAACTCACTATTTTTTTTACTTCCTTCCTCTTTATATTCTTTTAAGTTATTAACATAGTAAGGAAAACTAGGCGGCAAGATTTGATTGAAGATTAATTTTCCTAAGGTAGTAAAAAGAAATTGGTTCTGAGCAGTTGAAAAATTGCGGCCAACCAGAGTAGCGGGAATAACAACCAGGTCGTGAAGAGTTATTATTCCTCTTTCCTGACTCTTTCAAATATTTCCTATTTCATTGTAAAAAATTACTTTTTTGCTCTTAATCTCCTTGGTTAAATAATAAAGACCCAAAATCATGTCTTGACTAGGAATGTCTATTAAGTAACCATTTTTGGGATCAATAATATGATGGGGGGAGAGAATCCGCTCCTTAACCTCTTCGCATGCTTTACTTGTTATCGGTAAATAAATGGCTATTTGATCACCGTCAAAATCAGCATTTAAAGCCGTAGTTATTAGGGGGTGGAGCTCAATGGAATTACCGAGTGTCAATTGCGGATAAAATCCTTGGATGCTCAAACGATGCAAACTGGGAGCTCGGTTAGCCAGGACTGGATGTCCCTGGATAATTTGGTCGAGAAGTGAGAAAATAATAGAGTCTTCTCAGTAAAACAATTGCTCGGCTTCCTTGACCGTGAAAGCAATTTTTTCTTTTAATATTTTTTGAATAATAAATGGCTTGTAAAGGGTCAGAGCCATTTTTACTGGTAACCCTATTTGGTTCAGGAGTAGGTTGGGATTTGGCACAATCACGGAACGAGCCGAATAATCGACCCTTTTTCCCAAAGAATAACGACGGAGTATTCCCTCCTTACCACTTAAACTTTGCAGCAAACTTTTGACTTCACTCTGTTTATAAGTGGAGCCGTATATTACTTGGTCGACAGACTTCTGCAAACCTCTCTTTTCATTGTGAATAATGTCCCGAAAAAAAATTCCAGAACTTTTATTTAAATCAAGATAATAGTTCAACCTTTGGCATCGCAAAATTATTCGATACAAAGAGTTATTGTGCTGATTAGTAGCAATGACGTCTTCTTCCTTTAATTTGGTTACTGGTCGCAAACCACAAGGGATAACTGGTAGATTATTAATAATCATTCATTCTAACTTCAAGCCAGATCTTTGTAAACCTTGCAAGAACCTTAATTTTTCATTACTAACTTTCTGTGGATTTTCCTTGACTGCTTGTTTTACTTTTGCCAATTCTGCCGCAATATCAATTCCTACTAATAGTTCTCGAAAGGCTTCGGTACCAGTCCAAATTTTTACTCGGCAATGCTTTTCCAAGAAATCTAAGTAGTCATCCAAAAAAACAACATCCGTTATCTCTTCGTTACTTTTATCAATCTTTTTAGTGATTTTCTCGTTTAACTCTTTAGCTTCTTCAATAACACTTTTGCTTAATTCTTTATTTTGAATAATCTCCTGCAAAATATCACTAATGAGGGAGCGGTCTATTCTTTTTTCCAAAACCTCTCCTTTTGTTAGTAAATTGGTTAAACCATTATCAATAACCACGTAGGCTCGGAGATAAATAATGTCCTCCAATTTTTTGGAGGGAATGCCTAACAACTTACTCAAATTGGTTGCCAGAACCTTGTAAAGAGCAATGTTAGTTACCGGTGCC